TCTCTGCTACACAGAAAGCGTGGAAAGCGTGTAAGACGTGCACAACACGTGCAGCAGAGCACTTCAACGAAGTGCGTTGCTGAGCCTCGCACGGCCGGGCTTGTCACCGCCACGGGTTCGGCGAGGCCTGCACATCGAGCGGAAAATTCGCTCTGTTCTTGATGCAATGTAGAACTGCAACATGTTGGCACACTGCAGGACCCTGTCTGCAAGGGCTGCGCGAAACGACTCGGCCGCACACACATAGTCGCGGGAGGCGAGATGGGGCGAGTGTTCTGGGAAGCCTGGCTCGCAGCTTCTCCATTGCTTCACATCTGCTGTCATTGCACCGCTCGAAGGCAGAAACATCTATCGCAAGTTGATTGAAAAATCGGTTCTGAACCGAAGAGCACATGGTGCTTTTTGAGACCAGCCCAGTGCTATCGAAGCCCGGAAACTCTCGATACGTTCATCCTCCCACGGCCCGGACCATGCGTACGCCGGCGAGCAGCTGGTCCTAGTAGCAGCGAGGGGCTGACTGAGGAATACTTCGATTGAAGTTATGGGCTTCGACCTACAAGAAACACATCAAGCCCTGCAGTCTGTACTGTGGTAGCTTTGCTGTTCCCAAGCTTCTTGAAGTGCACGTGGAATCGAAGTGCTAGGGCCTATATATCCCACGCGGCCGACAGGACAGCAAGCTCTCGAGTGCTGCGTACTGCTCCCACGCTTGATTGTACCACAAGTGTCAGCAGAAGATGAGCAGAAGCAGCAACAGGAACATCCACGAAGAAACGCAACACCGACAATACATCGAAGACTGCAAGGACGACAGCCACTCCAGACTCCCGCGGCCTGGACCTCCTTTGCTTGCTGCATGATGTGGTCTAGCTTCGACAGCTCCTGACTCAGCGGGGACCGATTCTAGATTGATGTGCTTTCCAGATTCACCGCCGTCCACAAGAGATCACGTGCAGCATATCCTAAGGATGCCATCCAACCCTCGATCCACCCGGTATGAGAAAAAACTGTAACCCAAAGGCCGCCATCGCGCTCCAGCTGAAGCACAGCAGCTTCCGAACTTCACAACTTTTCGAGCGATGCACAATGCTTTGAGGTCTTTGCTGATGCTTCTGCCCACATCCCAACCAAACCCGATGCAAGCGTTCAAAGGTGCAGCCCCACAGACTACGAAGCTAGAGCTGCAGTTCGAAGCTGAATCCGAAACCCGAAAGCCGCATTTGTCACAGAGCGCCTTCCCGACGGGCAGAGACGGCCTCGGGAACTCTCGGGAAGGGGGTTTAGCGGCTCAAGCTTGGCACAAAGAAGCTTCAAGGGTTCCAGGCTCTTCCCGCTCAAGCCGACATACAAGCAAAAAGGTTCGTCAGGAATTCACCTCATCGCGTGTGTGTAGGTCTTCTGTTCACCTGCTCGTTTCACTAGAACACAGAACGTGCAAACCGCTTTCAAATGTCCTGATGCCCATCTGATGCCCTCTACTCAAGGCAAACGACCCATAAGTGATCCTACGCCTCCTCATACAAATCCTACTCTGCAAGCCGGCAGTCTTCAAGCTCGTAGGGGGCAATGTGGGTGTGCGCTGCTTGTGCCGTGTCAGCAGGCTCTTCTCAGTGCAGTTTCGAGTTCACAGATAGCTCGACATCGCTGCTGGCTCTGTTGGCTGCTGGAGGTCGCAGGCTGCTAAGCAGCCCCCACTCCGATACGCCTGGAGCCTGGAGCACGCTGCAACCTGGACGAAGCCGATTAGACCAGGCAGGCCCCGCGTCGTGTTTCGGACTGCTCGGACTCAGGGGATCGTGACGCTGCAGGTTCTTCTGCACACTGTCGATACTCGCCCGAGGGCAGCGACGAACTTGTAGCTCGCAGAAGTTTGTCGTGAATGCTCTCGCAGGCCATGCTTCGAGGCAGGTCACACTGGCCGTTTGGCGCATCCACATGCCTGCCGCGCATCTCAACCTCCCGAGGGGGCGCAAAAAAACTCTGACTCGAACCGAGATATAATGCTGTACTCAATGCTCAGTCTTTGCGTTTGAAACAATAACTTGAAGAAGTGGAGATCACCGAAAAAGAACGAATGCTGCATTTGGATGTTATCTGAAAAATGCTCGCTTCCAAACTCGCTACTCGCGAGAAAGAACGGTCCATCAAGAAAATGATGCCCCTCCCCTTGAAGAATCATTGCCCTGGGTAGACATGGCAAGGGCGCAAAAGTGTGCCAGCAACTTGGCAGAACCTTCAGTTCATCGCAAAAACAACTCGTCGTGAAATGCGACTTGAGTGCACTCTTGGTGGAGAAATCATGCCTGGCTTCGTGGCTTCAGAGGACAACCCGAGACGAAGGCCCACCACAGACCACGTGTACATGGGCGGACCAACCAAAGCCGACTAAACTGGGAAGCCGCACCGGTAGCCGCTCAGCGAAGGGCTTGGTGTCGGCGTAGTCTCCGTGCTGGCAGTGCTTCCGAGGGTTGGAGCCTCAGCAAATGTGAAGACTGGTTGAAGTGATCCAAGCCGTTCTCGACTGTTTGGTTCGAGGCTAGGGGAGGAGCCCAGAGCTGTGGCAGCGAAGTCCAGCCTTAATCTGCCGAGGCAAGGCTTGCGACTGCAGAGCCCTGCGAGGCTCCGGCCACTTTGGCTGCAGGGGTCCTCTTCCAAAACGCCTCCGCCAAGGACCTTTTCGCGTCCTGGGAGCGGGAGAGCGGCGAGTGCCGAGTGAGTGTATGAGGCTACGGAGATGCGGAGAGGCCATCAACAAGAATTTACAACGGAGTGGAGTGGGGCGGAAGCGATAACCATCCGCGGCTCCTGTGCCGACCACAACCTGCCGGGCATGAGCACACATGCCGAAGCAAAAGCTATCACTGAAGTGTCTGCGCTGTGAGGCATCTTGGAGTTTGATGTTCCCGCCTTATTCGCCGTGGCATTGAAGCCTCCAGACCCAGACCGCATGGAAAAGCAGATGTTTCAGGGTCCGGTTTGTTGCTTAACTTACCTTTGGTTAGTAGGGAATGGAGGAATGGGGTACAAGTATAACTACTATTCCGACCATTCTTCCATTCCCTACTAACCAAAGATAAGTTAAGGAGCAACCAGAGACCACGGAGCGAAGCGGAGCGAAGCGGAGCGGACTGCGCCTGCATTCGGCCTCAAGGGCCTTGGCAGATCTCAGAGCTTTGGCTCGGCGGGATCCCGTCATCAGGGCTTATCTACACTGGTTACAGCCTTTTTTGGACATTTTTCTGCAACAGGACAAGCTGAGAAGGCCACTCCTTGACATCGAATCTTCCTGTAACCACACATGCTTACGCCAGCCATGGTCTGCTGGAAAAGGGCACGGACAACGCCTCCCCAAAACGCGAGATAAGCTACTATGCCCTGTAGCCGAACCATGTCACTGCAAAAGTTGCTGGTATGAGCGAGATAGTAAGAACAGCACGGCCGAACTCCAACATCGCCACACCAGGACTGTCTTGCAAGAGCTCTCCGGCGGCCATCTATCTTGAAGTCGATCTGTCGCGAACACTTTCCCAACACCTGCCATCCCAACCAAACCCCTAGACTCCAGTTGTCATCAAACTTCCGACACATGAAGCTCCCCTCTATTCATTGAGCACCCGTTCGTACACTCGACCCGAAAGCACTGCTTGTGCCCAGCGAATCGTCACTTCGTCCCAGTGGGCGAGACCGCACAGAAAGATGCATAAGTCTGGGAAAAATTTGGCAAGTCCCCGGCGCATCAACGCGCGGCGTCCTCGTCAAGCTGAGGCTTGAAAGGATGCTCTTCGTGTGCAGAAAAAACAGGATCTACGTGCTTAGGACTGAGATTTCTTGATTTACCGGGTAGCGCACAATGTCCCTCACAAAACCCTCAATGCACTCCTCGGAACCTGGAGCCGTACGGCCGTGGGCTCCGCCTGAAGGAAGGTTCGGAGATGCGTCCGCTTCAATGTGCGGAGGTAGTAATTCGAATCTGGTTAGCAGTGTCGCGGCCGACATCACATGCAAAACTGCATTAAGCAAAGTTTCGCAACAGAACTGTCCTCATCCTCGTCATCCTCCCAGCTACACCACCACAACCCCAAACACTGAGAATGCACGTCAACAATCGACGAAGAGTCGCATGGGAAGAGCTCCGCGGGGCATGTGGCAGGATGCGGCTTGCAATCATGCGAGCGGTCGGCATGGGTTGACTACTGCTTTACAGCGACATAAATATGACCGATCACGACATCACATCAAGATAAGAACAACTTCAAACGAAAAGCACAGCGCCGAGAAGTCGACCGCGCCATGTGCCATCAACTCACTTTGCACACTTCTTGGCAGCTACAGTGTCGTTTTGCCCTTGATCTGCCCCTTTTGGAATCTGTGCGACTGCCTTATGCCCCTTTTTTTCAAGTATCGCTGCCGGGCTGCATCAGTATGCAAGGCGATACAGCACACTTCCTCTGATCTGACAACACGCAATGCTTAAACAGCGTTCGGTTCAACCACATTCGGATCCCAAAAATGTAGGTTGTCCAATTCCCCTGCGAGGTGCATGCGTCCTCTGAGACCTCTGAGCCCAGGATACAGAAGAACGGAAAGATTCGGAGACTTTCTGCAGATGCGAAGTACTCTGCCTTTTGTGCAAGCACCACCCATTTGTTCTTAACCTCGGGCTGCAGCTATCAGACTCTGTGGCGTACTGCCACATCGTGGCATCTGTACTTCCATACTCTGCTCTCTGTCATGCCCTCCGGACATGAGCGGTAGCTTCAAGCATCGCTCGGCACGTTGACGTAGCAGGCAGCTCAAGACGAAGAGAGAGACATTAAAACCCCACGGTCCATGAGCTACATCCTGCGCCAGAGACATTTGCGGAACCAAACTGGTGAAACAATAACTCAATTAACGTAGGCTGGAGCTAGAAGATGCTGGAAATAGAGTCAGAGCACTCCAATGCGTAGGCTCTAGAAGCACGCACGGTCCAGCTCGAGAACCCGAACTGCGTTGCCTCTTCAGGCAGCGGTCATGGGTGCAAAAGTCAGACGTCCCAGGCTTCGGGTCATTGTCTCTTTCCCAACCTCTAAACCCCGTCCGGGTGGCTGCACCGCGAAGTGGGGTGTCATTGTCTTTAGAAACGGCCTCCCTGGCTCCGGCAGCACCGCCGGGGCCTGGGCTTGGGCCGAGCGGAAACCCATCAGCGCCACATGGAGTGCAGGGCTCGCGTAGTCCCCCATGTGCTTGTAGGCGGTCTCGTACCTCTTCTCGAAGTGCCCATCATGTCGGCGTCCTGCCCACCCGTCAGCTTCGGCCTTTTTGGGAGAGGTCACGGGAGGCGAGTCCGGACGCAGATGGATCTCCTGCAGCCTCGCCAGGTAGTCGGGATCTGCATTCTTGCCGAAGTCTAAGTCAAAGCGCAAGCCCATGCGGGTTTGAGGTTGACTGGCCTGTAAAGCTCCGCCAGCTGTCCCGAAGCCACCGAAAGATGAATTTTCCGGAGGCAAAGGTTTGGACCACTGGTCTTCGGCAGACGGCCAAGCTGAGCTTGCTTGAGGCTGAAACCTCTGCTTGTCGTCCTTGCTGTCTTTGTCCCATTGCTGTCCCTTCTCTCTTTCTTTCCTCTCCTTCCTCTCCTTCTTCTCCTTCTTCTCCCTGCCGGCTTCGGGAGGAGTCTCCTGGTCTCCAAAAGTGGTCCAGTTAGCAGCCTGAGAAGAAGGATCTGAAAACGTTTCAAAGAGCAGAGGCACACAAAAGGCTCGGAAGGCGAGCGCGCTCCGGCTCTGGGGTCCCGGCAGCGCTTCCAAAGTCGGGTTCGGCTGCAGACCCGCCCTTGCCCTGGCCGGAGTCCCAAGGCTCCGGCGAGGCCTCAGGCTGACCCGGCTGACCCGGCTGACCCTGATCCTGACGGATGTCTCCGGCTGCCTCCTTCTTCTCCTTCCTTTCCTTCTTTGAACGACCCGGCCGCTCTTTCTTCTTCTTCTCGCCGGCCTCCTCGGGCCCCGGCTCGGGCGTCGGGAACTCCGGCAGCTCCGGCGGCGGCTGGCTGAGACCGAAGGCCTCGGCGGGCCCGGCAGCAGTCCCGGCGCCGGGCGCAGCGTGGCCGAAATGCGGGCTGGAGCCCGCGCCGCCCGCGCCCTGCAAGGCCGCAGGCGACCGCAAGGTACGGGCAGACCGCGAGTTTCCTTCCAGAGACAACTCCTGTGCAGACTCCGAAAAGCCTCCGAGGAAGGCTGAGAGTTCCCCCGAGATGGCTGTTGGGCTCTGCTGTGTCTGGCGAGCTTCACGTATCAGGTGCATGGCAGCGATGAACTCTGGGAAGCTCAGCATGCCACTGCCACTTACATTGGATAACATCCAAACTTGTTGCAAAGTGTGCTCTGGCAGCTGCGACTTCGTAAAGAGAGTATATGCTTCGTCACTGCTGACAAAGCCGTCGCCATCCTGATCCGTCTTCACAAAGAGCCGGGCATACTTGCGCAGGTCTCGGCGACTAGGCGTTGGCCTCGCAGTTGAACCCGGCTGGCCCTGCATGGCTTCAGCTCTACAAGTCGAAGACACCTGACTACCGTCTACATTATTCTATTTCAGGGTCAAGTCTGTTTTGTTCCGGTACGGCCAGACGGCCTGCATCAACATTACTGGGAGTACTGCCTTCATTGAATAGCGGAGCCACATTCAGGCTGTCGTAACCAAGCTTTGCTCATGAAAAGCAAGTCATGCGAATGGTCCATGCTAATGCTGAGTCTTTTCTCGTGTGGCGCTGGAACTGAGCAGATCTGTGACCTTTAGGAGACAGAAGAGGGCATGTCGGATCTCGGCATTCGCTGCAGGCGACGCTCCCGGGCCCGGCGCCCACTGCTGACTCAACGTCCCGGCGTTCTCGATGTTGCCGGAGGAGGCCATGGAGAGCCGCAGAGCCGAAGAGCTGTCTCTGCCAAGCGCCTTTCGCGCGGCTTTCGCGCGCTTTTCCTGTGGGGCTCGGCCTCTCGGCCTCTCGGCCTCCTCCTCGCACTGCCGCTCTGCCGCTCTGCCGCTCGCGCTGGAGTCGCGCGCTGAAGTCGAGTTGAGCGGGTCGCGGTCACGGCGTGACGGCACCGGTCGCAGGAGTCTAATCCTCACTCTCCGGGGAGCTGAGCTTCGTTGAAGTACCTGGCCTTGATGCGATGCAGTCCAAAGTCTTGACCATGCAAGGCAGCTTGAGCCTTTACTGCCTCATCAACCGTGCTGAACTCCAGGAAGACGCGCACGCTCTCCTCCCGGGCACGAACAGCTTGGGTCGCCAAGCCCTACGACGAGTACCGTCTCAGATTTCAGCACCCGGACGGGCCTCTGGCTGAAGGTCGGAGAGAGTCTTTACCACGCATCTGCACAACTTGCCATGCTGTTTGGCCAGGTGCTGCACTTCGTCCTGTGATCAGACTGAACTTTCCTGGTTCTGTGTTGACTGCAGGAAAGACCGCACATGCTCGCACTGCCGGCATCCTGCAGACCGCCATCCAGCTCCTCAGGGCGAACCAAATTGGTCAGCACCAGCATGCGAGAGGGAATCGCCTTTCGGCAGAAGGGCCCGTGCGTGTCATGATCATGGTGTGAGTCACGGTACCCAAGTATGCACAAGCGCGCTGCCACTCTGGCCGTACCTTGTAGAGCTCGCCGTCTTGGAAACGCTTCTCGTCGTAGAATCGGGCCCGCAATGCTCGACCATCCGTCACCTGCCCTCGCAATGATGCGTAAGCCTTCGACGAAGCCTTGATGCTATCGAAAACAACAAACACCCGAATGGCATCCTCTTCCGGGACGTCGGGGACCCTCACAACGGTGCACTCCTTGACCGCACCAAACTTCTTGACCCACCCTTCGACGGTGGCTTTGATGGTCTCTTCTGGCTGTTTCGCCGGTGCCACATTAGTTAGAAGCAAAACCTTTGTCGGTGAGCGGTTTAACTTTGCCTGAACTTCTTCAGGTGCTTCTTCTTTGTTCTCGGTGGTCCGTGCCCTCTTGGCTGTCTCGGACTCTTTCTGGCCGTTTCTCTTGGCGCTTGACTTCCAGAGTCTGACTGCAGAGTCGGCCGTTGTTTCTCCACGGTTCTTCCGGAGGCTCGAGCGCCAGTTCTTCAGCGCCTCCAGGAATGGCTTCCTGCGGTGAAAGACGGAGGGCACGCTGCGCTTCGAACAAGCGTTTCTTCTACTGGCCTCGCGGCGCCGGAATCTGACTGCACGAAACAGCCTTCGGCTGTGCAGCCAACCATGCCTTCACCGAGCAACAGCAGGAGGTCCGTCGCGGGCACGAACGCCCACTTTGTCTCATCGTCGATACCGGGACCTGTCACAGTCGTGGGAACTTTCTTTGTGCAGCAATCTTGAGCCTTGGTCTGGCTGAAGGATCTTAGTGGGCCGTGCCTGCGTCGCTGGCCTGGAAAAGGCGAAGGTGCTGCAGAAAACCATCGCCGACCCAAGGCGCAGTGTCTTTCCAGAGTACCATACACAGCTTTTGAATCTCCAAGTCGGTGTCGGGACGGCTCGCTGCTTCTGCACCAGGCAGAACATCTTGCAGAATGGTTCGCCACTTCTTCCCCCACTCGGTGGCACAAGAAGCCGCTGACTTGTCATCCCATTTGCTGTTGCGGCTGCGCTTGCCTGCCGCTGCAGCACCTGGCTCATTTAGAAGCTTTGCTAGAAAAACCTGCCCGCCATGGCTTTTCCGGCGCACCTGATGCCCAGATGCGCGATCGGATCTTGTCCTGATTCACGGCGGTTTGGGCCGGCATCTCGTGCAGCTTGCCATGAACTCTCTGACCCTCCTGAAGCTCTTTCCAGAGGCCCAACTCCGGAAATTGCGCCATCACCTGCAGTAGTTCTCAATGGCTCTGTGTTGGTCTGAGACGGTCCCGCCTGGTGCCAGCTTCCACGTACGCAGCTATCGTTGCGGTTCGCCTGACGGAAGAATTACCAAAGTAAGCAAATCGACGCTTGTCTGTGCCAGCAATCAGTGCTAATCATTGACGAAGATGATGGTGGTGGGGGGGTGTGATGATGATGATGATGACGACGATGAGGGTGTTATGAGATGTTATGAGGGTTATGACGGTGATGAGGGTGATGAGGGTGATGATGGTGATGAGGGTGATGAGGGTGGTGAGTGTGGCGATGATGATAATGATGATGATAATAATGATGATGATTGTGATGATGATGATGATGATGACGATGATGGCGATGGCGATTCCCATAGATGGTGATGGCGATGGCGATGGTGATGATGCTGATGATGCTGATGATGCTGATGCTGATGGTGATGACGGTGATGATGATGATGATGATGATGATGAGGAGGAGGAGGAGGAGGACGCAGATGATGACAACTGTATACATCTAGTGATTATGTTGTCCAATCAACTACTACATGTGTCAACTACATTGACAGTTGCAACAACTGAAACATTAACCGCCCAGTAGTAATACTCAAGATGATGCTCATGTTAACCGTGGCACATGTTTTGATGCCTACAAAGAGCGATGTGAATGATAGCCATGGTGACAAAAAACTTGGCAAACCTGGTGTTCAAGGTTTTGGGAAGCGAGATGGCTGCACTTCGCTGGTCTCTCTAGATGGGCCGGGATGAGCCTGGCTCTGGGAGGGGGACATTGGCATCGAGGACCGGGTGAGGACCCGAAACCCCAAGCCCAAGCTTGCCTCAGCCTCGGCAGCCCGGCTGAGGGAACAGAGGAACTGCGCACGGAAAGGCTTCTGCGAGCAATCGTAGGCAATGCGCAGCGGGGCTTTGGTAAACAGATCCAGAAGATGCGACTCCTGGTACCTCAGAGCTTCACGGCACGATTCACCGCGTTTGCAGAAAGATGGAGAAGGCCGGATGAGGCATCTGAGGCACGGACCACTTGCCCAGCAGTTCCTGACTGGAACATGCGAAGGTGCAGAGTGCAGCGCATTTCGGGGAGCCGGTCCTGTGGCCGGCAGCCCTGGAAAGCCGGCTGTGCAACGAAGGCTGCAGTGCTGCGCCGAAGTGCTGCCTCTGAGGGCACACCTTCGCCTGCAAGCTTTGCATTGCGTTCACGGACAACAGGACTTGGCATCTGCCCTACGAGGCCTCAAATCCTAAACCCTGCTGACTGCTGCCATCTGCTGCCCGACATCCCGCAACTCCCGAAACACCTAAAGTTCACATGCATTCTGATATTCTAAAGGGATGGATGGACACCGGTTGGAAACGTCACTGCAATGCGAGACCCACGGCCTGACAGAGCAAGAACCGCGGCCAGCAGCCGGCTCGCTTCGGCCAGTAGAGCACACTGCCTGGTGCCGGTGGGTACGGCGATGCCCAAACCCCCCATCAGGAACCCTCACTTCAAGCCGCCTTCATATTCCATCCACCAGAGCAATAATAGCAATGACAACCACGTGAGAAAGAAGAAGAAGAACAGCAACCAACTAGTGGTTCGAGGAAAATGCGGAAATTCAAAATGCCGTCCAACGATGATTGGTGAAATGACTCCTTTGAGGTTGCCTTTAGGACACGCAGCTGATTGTTTTGCAGAAATCTTGAGGATAGGGCAATGGCAAATTGAGAACGAGGCATAGAGTCGTAGAACTTCACCTACAGACTTCATTCCGAAAATGAAACTCATCAAACAGAACAAAAAGGTCACCAATGCCAATACACATACCAACAACAATGGTCCAAGGAAACTTGCATTCGCAATGAGAGCCCCAGCATGATGAATCGTGTTGGTCGTGATTGTCGCACTCGCGGTACTGGTGGTAGGCCCTAAACCCAATTAGCGGAATGATGAGCAGCAAACCCGCAACCCTGAGTCAGTGACCTTTGACACGAACGGAACCTTTTGAATCTTGAAAGCCCGTGGAATCCCAAAGTCTGCCCCCCAAATCCGCCTAAACCTTACAGGAGATGCTGCCCTTTAAACACCATATAGTCAAAGGGCAACCAAGCCCGAAACCATCCCAACACCTTCGTGTTCTTTGAATGTTGTTTCCCCAAACCCGCGAGCGATGCAGTTTGCATTACCTCTACCTGTTTCTCCAGCACTGCAGACTCTGCACAACCGAAAGTCATGGCACCAAAGAGCTTGCTGCGGGTACGACTCATTTTAACATGTGACAGATTTAGATTCATGGTGATGCTACACTTATGCATGTGAGCTTTCAGCTCGGATAGAGACACGGGCCTGTAATGTTATCTTTACGCCGCGCCCGTAATGCGTATCAATCCTAGAGTTGGTAGTCGTGCTCGCACTCGCATCGGTAGTCGTCGTCCTCGTCCCAAGTACACTCTCATTGACAGACATGGTAAGCCGAGACCAGGGACGGGTCACGGCGACGCATTGGGGAAGCTAGAGCTGCTTTTGAGAAGCCAAAGAGGGTGTGGAGGCATGCCGCGTGTCCGAAGCAGAAATGCTGCAAATTCGCAGCGCCAAATGCTACATCAGACTTTGCGAAGTGATGAGGTGCGGCTGAATCAATTGCAAATATTTGGAAGGCCTCCGGATCATCCAGCCAGAATCGTTTCCTTCGACCGATTTCTGCTGCCGCGTATTTGGGGCCACCCTACCGGCCCGGAAGAAGAGCAAGTGCTTCCCGCACTATGACCATTTCTAACGACCAGTTCTTCCGAGAAAGGGGGAGCGACAGAGACATCAAGTTGAAATTGCTTGGAAGTGGCCGCACAAAGGACAGGGTGGTCCTCTAAGCAGGCTTGGCAACACCGCAGGGTCGGGCGAACGCGCCCAAGCCGCTTAAAGTATCGTCGTCGTCGTAGTGGCAGTTGTGGCAGTAGAACTATGCACTGTGCGTCTGCCCCGTATCGCCATGATCACGTTAGCTGGTACAACTTATCTCAGGCGCCCCTCTGTTGTCTGCCTAGCGTCGGTCGCTCCAGGCTCTCAGCAGAAGCGGGGCCGCCCTGAGTCACAAGGCACCTTGCAGTCGATGCAACAGGGCAAAGACAGCAGTGGTCTGATCAAGGAAAGAGTGGTTTTACGAGGGCAGTGCAAAACTTACAAAGCCTTTGCAATGGAACAGAATGGCAGTTTACTGATCGCAACGGCAGACATGATAGGATCACGAGGATGGACAGACTGAGTAGTAAGAACCACATTAATCGTCAGAACTGAAAAATAACAACCTTGGCAATTCGATCCACAGCAGCTGCAGCAAGAGTAAATTGTCTCGCACTTTGGAACCTAGACTTGAGGCAGCAAAACAGGTCCTCGAGTGCATGCATCGCATGGTGCCGACAAAGCCACAGGCTTTGCAGTGCTTTTCGGGACTCTTGGAGGATGCCACGCAGCTCCTAAAGCAACAGGCTCGCACTGCCTGTTAAAGGCTCAGGCACAAACGGATGCCATCAACAAAACTCTTCATTCCGAACTGTCGTGCGTCCTCTGAAGCCTCCCCCAAACGCTTGAATGCATCGTGAGCCTGCGCACTTCGCGAACATCAATCAGTACGTACTCGTATCATGTATTTCACATGCAATCGGCCTCCTCGATGCCGGGATTCTTATCTGGATGCAGGGCTCTTGAGAGCTGGCGATACGCATAGTTGATGTCTGACTCTCCGTAGCCACCATGATGCACCCCTCCCAAACGCAGCACCGCTCCAGCACCCAGCACTTGGCCGTTCTTTGGAAGGATTCTTGGGATTTCCTCCATTGGCGAAGCCACCAGGATCTTCTCTGCAGCATGCGCCTGTCTCACATCCTCCAAGAGTCGGGCCCGTAGTTCCGAGTCTGAGAACCACTGCCAGTCACCGAAAAGCTCCACGCCCTCCACCCGCCCGACCTGCCCTGCGCTGGCGCCTTCCGCTTCCGTGCTGGGCTCGGGCTCGGGAGGCGGCGGCGGTGGCGCAGGGGGCACCGGGGCTGCCGGGGGCGAGGAGCGCGGAGCGCTGCCCGCTTGCAGCCTCTTCAGGATCCCCGCCTTCACCTGCAGAGACAGAAAAGCAGAGAGAGCACAGAGAGAGCAGAGAGTGAGCAGAGATGAGGAAAGAGGACGTAGCCGTACGTGCGCGCGATTTCTCACAAAAAAGCGGTGTCTCCGAGGCGCCGAGTCCAGCTTGGCGGCGCGGGCCGCGGCCGGGAGCGAGGCCAGGGCCTCGAACTTCGAAACAAAATCCGCTCAGAGCGCTTAAGCGCTCAGCCGACTTCCAGAGAGAGAGAGAGAGAGACCTTTTTTATTGAAAAAAAAAACCTGCCAATACAGAAGAAACCCCCCCCCCCCCCCCACACTCCCCCAAGACGTCTCGCCTTCTCCGCCATCTCGTGGGCCTGCTTCTCGAGATCCATGCTCCAAAGCCCCTCAAAAAGCAACCTTGGTGAGGTCCTTCTTTCGTGGACTTCCAGCCGAGCCGCCTGCGATAGCTCGCCATGCCTCAACACACCTCAAACCCCTTCATGCTGCAAGATGCAACTGACGGAAAAGTGAAACTCTGTCGTAACCTGGAATGAGGACTAGACCGTGTTCGGTTCGCGTGGTGCCTTTTTTGCACAGCGGGCTTCTTTGACTCGCCTGTGCTTTTCGCACAAGCCGAGCTACTTCCAACCGGATGTGCGTTGGGGTTCTGCTAGGGTGAGACTTGTAGCCACAACATGCGGCGTCCACGTGAGTGAAGACACCCGTAAGATCATGAGCTTCGGCCGAGGGAGCCAGCTTTGCTCCGAACGGAAAGCTTGGCAAACTCACCTACTTCTCCAAGTCAGAGGCATCGGTCAGGGGCACGGTCTCCGCAACCACGCGAGCTGAACGGGTCCGGGAAGAGTGACATGGATGTTACGCGACGCATCAGCGAAAAACCGAGTCTTCTGTGTCACAATCAAATGTGCGGTGGATCCAGCAAGGGATCCTGTGCAAGCTTCAAGGTGTCTTTGATGTCGACTGCTGTGACCTCGCACTGACGCACACCCCGGAGGCCTCTTCTGCAGACAATTCCCAATGAGATGGCAGCGGCTACTCCCAGGACCTGAGGGGTCCAAAGACTCGAAGGCGACAAACGGGGTTTTCAAGGCGCTTCAGGTCCTGGCCAGAAGAAGTCCGGAAGAGCCCCAAAGCCGCCAAGGCTCTGGAAGCTCCTGTAATGCAAGTCCGGGCCTTTGCTCCGTCCGATCTGCCGTCAGAGTCAGAGAGCTCAGTGAGATCCAGCGGCTCCTTCATGCGCTGCTCCTCCGCGTCTTCGATGAGAGAGCTCTTGTCGAATGCAGCCCCCTTGATGCCCCTGGCTGCCATATCCTTCCAACATACGGCCGACAGCCAGACAGTGGGGACAGCATCTCACCTCCCAACCACTTCGTGCCTTGTAGCTGTTCTGGAAATGAAGGATTGCAGCATCCGCCTTTTTCTTGAGCTCCTTCTGTTCCTGGCACCGGAGTATGGCCCTGCTCCACACCTTACACTCAGCGACCCCGCCAAGTTCCGGCCTCCTTGTATTGCTTATCGTGTTTCAGCCAGTCCACGAGTGGCTCCAGTTGGGTCTTGTTGCTTGCGTCGAGCTTCGATGGATCCACCTCGATTGCAGGTTCAACAAAGGTCCAGTGGACAATGTAGAACATAAACGGCTGCCTCGCGCATGTTAAAATCTAGCTGCATGCTGGGAAAGGAGGCAGAGGAGGCAGAGGAGGGAGAGAGTTGAAGGACAGAACCTGTGGATGGTGGAAGCTACTGCGGTTACTCCGACTGCCAGAGTGGTTTTACGCTTTCACGCATGTCACCACAAACTTGGAGGCGAAACTTGAAGCCCGGAAGATTCACGACTTGTTACTAGAGCTGAAGATCAACAGAGAGTTATAAGACTCTCCAAGTACAGAAAACACGAGTGACTCGGATCTGCTTGGCTGAGATGGGCACAGGACCCTTCTTGCCTAGCACATTGACCGCCTGGTCTGGACTGCTTGCGGAGACATCAGGGACATGCTTCGAAAGAGCACGGTCGCCCAGGTCTAAGGCCTTCGGAGCAACTGCTGGATCTATTACTTTGTTGAGCTTATCCATATCCTCAGGTCGCGCATGACGCAAAGCCCGGAAGCAGAAGCCTGCACAAATGGACCTAGCCACAGCAACGGCAGATTCGGTCACCAAATGCAAAGCTAGGCTCCGGGATTTGCAGGTCACCGTGGATGACTGGATGATCCTTGATCTCACCTGATCAATAGAGCCAATAGGGTTGAGAGCTCGGAGCAGGAAGTTCAAAATCTCTGGCTTCTGCACCTCGGCTTCATGCCAGCTAAGTTAGCCGCCATTGTGCACCGCCTCCCGGTAGTGCCGCTGGGCCTGGCTAAGCATTTGGCACCGAGGGTCGCGGATGCGTGACTGCAAAATCGAAATCGGAAAACCGAGGAGTTCGTCTGCTTGTCCGCTCTTAGCTTGCCACTTGTTCCCCCATGGTTGACAACTCCATGGGTTCAACATGATCTTCCGCCAATCGACTCTGTACCGTACCTCTCCTTGTTGCACTTTGTTCGGGGGATTGATACACCTAAGTGCCTTCTTGCAACTTAGCTGTCTTTCGAAAAAGCCGCACTGAGAAGCTGCCTCCGCAAAGTCCTGGGCAAAGGCTCGCCAGGGCAAGGGCACCAGGAGGAGCCTCGAACTGCCGTCGTCTTCTCAAATGGACTACATCTGCATCTGCAGGTCTCTCTTCTCACCCGCATGACCTAGAGACAAAAATCTACATTCATACATACCTACCTGCCTACCTACACACATACCTGCCTGACTGTCTGCCTGCCTGTCTGCATACATACATACATACATACATACATGCTCAAGTGCTCGAGTTAAAGCTAGAGCGGCCATGTCTTCATAAAACAATTGTCTGCGGATACGTAAACCTGTATGCGTGCACGTGTGTCTGCGTGCTTGTCTGCGAGTCCTGAATCGATTTGCATGTATAACCACTACGGCTACGGCATGATCTGTAGAATTTCTGCAGCTACAGCTTGCAGGCATAAGTCATCTTCTGTCACTGTCGATGTACAGGTGTACACAAGGATACACATGTCGGTTGTATACATGTGCATGTACAGCCATGTACACGTGTGTGTATGTGCTTGCACATGTATACAACTACACATGCACATAGGAATGTATGTACATGCATATATGTATGCATGTATTTATGCAGATATGTCGGTATGCAGACATGTACGCATGTATGCATGCATGTAGATGTCTGTATGTATATGTAATGCAGGCTAGGGCACATGTGCATGCGTGTGCTTACGCCTGGTTGTCTACACAGGGCGTTTATGGCTTTCCCAATCCATCTTTCACGTGTGGCACTGAATGGTCAGTCAAAGTCGATCTTCACGTCTTGTGTGTATGTATGCGTACGACATACCCCAGGCATGCATTGCGCATTTTGTTGGTATCAGCATAACCCGAATAGTGGCGGATTCGCGGCAACCAAGTCTTTCGGGATTATGGTGCTCATAATTCGATACGCCGCCGCCCACATGCATCACATCAATGTACCTATTCCAACATACAGCGATACCCTGCTTCCTCCGAAATCCCATCCTTAAACGCAAACCACCCAAAGCTTACATCCGTTTCACCGCTGCGCAAGAGCCTAAACTCAAAACCCTAAACCCTAGTCCCGAACCCTCGTCAACCCCAAACCCTAAACCTGAAACCCTGAGCCCAAGCTATCAGAGTCCCTCATCCTCCGTGCAGTGGTGAATCTTTCATAAGAACCGATCTTTCCTGCTACCTTGTGCTGAAGCAGGGCCTTGTCACGAGTATCCCGTGCCAAAACCCGTCATGTACTCACCAAAATTCAACGAGCCCTGATACAGTCAACCCCGCCGCATAATGTCAACACACGTGCGTGTACGCTCTTGTTTATGTACATGCGCAAGGAAGACAGAGAAATAGAGATAGAAAGAGAGAAAGAGAAAGAGAAACAAAAAGAAAAAGAGAAAGAGATAAAGAGGGAAAGAATAATAGAAAGAACAAGACCAAGCAAAGAAAAAACAAATGGAGGGAGGGAGAGACAGAGACAGAGACGGAGCGGGAGAGTGGCTCATTTTGCTCCATCGTCCCACTTCCTGGAGGAGTTCGCAGCCTGAAGCTCCAGCGAATCAACCAGGCGGGGTATTGACGTTTGAAGAGCTCTTGACCAAGGCTTGAGTGCTGCAGGGCCAGGGTCCGGCTGTGGCATGGCGCGACGACCGTCCACCTTGCTCCGACCGGCTATGGGAGCGCCGCTGGATTCTAGTGCATGTGCAGCAAGTGCACGCACGACCAGTGCTAGCAAATGTGCGATGGTAGCCCAGACAAGTGGGCAGCGGAAAAGGCCAGGCAGCGATTTTACGAAAGGCCAGAAGGGAATGCCTCGTATGCTTGATCGGGCCGCAAGGGATGCCTGTTGGATTTAAGAATGGATCAAACGGACCGCAAAGATGTCTTGTGCGGTTGAATGGGCGTTTGGCCCCGAAATGGGAGGTTACCCCGACATCGGCCCGCAGCCTGATGTAAAATTGCAATCTCATAGAAATTTAGCATCCAAAATGCACTCGACTCAAAGTCCAGGAGCCTCGGTAGGAACCTGATCGGGTGGATTAGGGTACCCCAAGCCTGGGTTGGCGGGCCTGCCTAGTTGTGCTTCGTTTTTGGCGCCAGCGGTGCCAGCTCGTCAAAACAGCGGAAGTCGACAACCTTTGTGACCTGCGGCAATAAGCGACGTCGGACGTAAACCGGCTCCAACCGTTGGCCTGAGACCCTTTAATCAGGAAGGTTCTGCTACCGGACTGGCCAATGGCCGCGACTCGGACCTGTGCAATCGAAACAGGCGGGCCAGAGAGAGAGCGAGAGAGAGATACAAAGGAAAAGAAAGAGAGAAAGAGAGAGAGGAAGGAGATAGAAGGAGATAGAGAGAGAGAGGGAGAGAGAGAGAGAGAGTGTGACATTATGCCTCTTAATATGTAACTACTTATCGTATGTTTATGCAGTGTTGCAGTTGTCGATATAGCGGTCTGTATTGAAACGCACCTGCACACGCACCATCCGACTCTTGCCTTGTCACGCTTACGGCTTTAAGAAGCTCGAGGACTAAGGTACAAGGAGAGTTGGTTACGGCTATCTACGCTTTCAACAGTAGGCTGTTAGCTCATGGAAGCTGCGATGCCGATTTGAAGCGGGGGAATCGGGCTTGGCAGCTTCAGTTGCAGATGGTTCGTTCTGGGCTGAGCCGAGGCCCGTGCGCTTGCAGCAAGAGGCTCTGGCACACCATCGTCAGAGCCCTCGTAGAATTGCACGGGCGCCGTACATTCAGCCAAATAGCTGCGCCACCCAAGCTCCAGCTGCAGTTCATCACTTTGCATGCTCGACAATTTGTTGAAGGGGCACGAACCGACACATCTTTGTTGGCCCGGCAGTCTTCTGTCAGTGATCAACCGCGCGAGGCAAAGGCTCATTGACATCCACCTGCGTCCCGCCTGCATTCGAGGCTCTTCGCTCATGTCTGCAGGTAAGTGCGCGTTCTGAGCTTCGGACTTCGATCACCAGGCCTACAGATGCTACACTCACGCAGGCATCCGGGGAAAGGCATCAAACCCGCCTTGCCTGAAGCAGGTCAACGACTCCAGCTTCATGCGACCAGTGTCGGGATGCAATCGCCAGAACTGGCACAGGAGCTTCGCAACGAGAAGGATCCGGATAGGTGGATAGCTGCAAAGACAATCGACGAAGTGCCGAAGGGCTTCGTTTTTGGGGCGGTTGCTACGGCGCAGCGGACGTCGAAGGTTCCTCAAAACAGGCTGTTTTGAGCCAGCCTCTGGCTCTGGCTCGGCCTGGCATCCTTTGTGCCGTTCTGGCTCGGACTCCCATGCGCTGGCTGCTGGCTCTGGTGCACCAGATTTGACATAAGTAACCAACCCTGTGTCCCATAAGGTCTCGCTGGGAATCCACTGACTCCGGCTCAGACGTGCCATCTTGGCGCAGTTCCACGAAGCCTGGGATTCAAGGGACGCGCACGAGGTCACAGATTGGGCTTGCGAACACCAGCTGGGCCGCCCACGTCTCGTGCCTTTAGCCACTTCGAAATTTCCCCAAAATGTGCAAGGAGCCTCAGCCGTGAGCTCAAGAACGCTCATGGCACACGTAACCTCGCTTGAAGCCCAGCAGCACACAATGGCCATGAAAACCAGCGACAGTACCAGGACAGTGGTGGGGCCCACCTCCGAGCTGCGAAGCAAACGAGCACACCCCGCCACATGCCACCACAGGCTCAGGACCTTGAGACCAGGAGTATCATCGCTGTAGAACTTGAGAATTCCTCCACCGCCGCCCGCCTGCTTTTCACGCTTCCACGCATTCAGGCTCAAGGGCGGCTGTGCGACCAATCAGAGAATGAAGCGAAGCCGGAACCGAAATATTGACTCCGCAACACTATACCGTCTCACAGCACCTTCTTGCCACTGTTGGCCCCTCCAGATGCGGCACCGGACCTGCGCTAGAATGCGTTGCGGAATCCGTGGCACATGCAAAGGATCGACTCCTCAAAGTCATTTGGAGGTTCTGGGCCTCGTCGTTGTGCGACGAGCCAGGGCCGTGCGGGAACCACCAACCTAAGAAAATGCAGGAGCCAGCTTGAAGAACTGATAACGACATCACTTGACAAATGTTCAAGCAGCGCCTAAGGCACCAATCTGGGAACCGGACAGAAGCTGCAGCTTGGCCTCGACCCGTACCAGAGGAGTCCGCCATCCTGGAACGAAGCACACCAAGAGGAGACACTGCCGTTTGCGCTTGCATTGGCAACCTGGTAGGACATGGAGCGACTTTCCCTAACCCTGATAAACATGCATCGTGACTGGACGGGATATGCCATTTTCAACAAGGTAATAGCCTGGACCGAGATGCCTAGATGCGCTGCATACTGCCGTTTCGGGTCGATGGTCCCAAAGTCGAGCGTCAAGCACACATTGCTGAAAGTCGTTGTCAGTGCCGTTCGCCAATCCGAGGGGTTTCTCCACTGGGTGCTTTATTGACTGCATGTAAATCCTCCTCAAATCACAAGGTTGTTGCTGTCGCTTTCGAAATGCCGGATTGAGCTCGCAGAACCAGAAATTGCCTGCATTGTTGCACCGGTTTGCCCCATTTAAACTAGCTGGAAGGGCCTCTGCAAGCCAATTGGTTTTGCTCGAGTCTGTGTTGTTTGGACTGGGAGCCCTGAAACTTGGTCTGTGCAAGGTGAAAGGCTATGCATGCAGGAACATGGAAGTGCCGTATAACCCGT